TGTGGCCTTTCCTCAGGCAGCTCAGGCCTCAGAGGGAGGCTCCTGTCGGGCACCACAGTCCCCTCTGGAGCTGGAGCCTGGCCCAGGCCCTTGCCCTCTCCTAGCCCACGAGCATAGGCTTGATGCCATTTTCCTGCTTAGGGACACAGATGGTCAGAAGGCTTTTCTTTTTTTGGACTCTAACCTAAATATTTCTGCTGCTTGTAAAGTCAAGATTTTTTTTGTTGTTGCTCATGGAAATTCAGAGTAGGGACAGGAGTTTTCGATCGCTCAGAAGACCCTTCAGGAGGTTCCTTCTCCACCTGTGATTTATTAAGTTGCATTCTAAGTGTCCAGCCTCTTTTCCCCTCTTCTCTGGGCTGAGGGCTTAGGCGTTTTGGTTTGGTGTGTCAGTGGCAAGATACGTTGCTCCAGGCGGGCTCCTTCCTTGATCTGTGTCACTGTGTTGGCCTCCCGGAGTACATCCTCTGTGGCCCTGAGCCCTGGGGTCGGGAGGACACCCACACGAGCTGTGGCTGGAATTCCGCCGGGCCGGCAAGCCCCGATTCCCCAAACACCTCTCCACTGTCGAGTCAGAAGTGCTGCCGTTAGATGCATCCCCTTCCCTGACCAGGAGGGCATCTCGCGCTCAGGCGGGGTTCGCACTGCACCCCTCCTTCGTCTAGGGAACACCCAGGGCTGCCTACTCCCTCTCTCGCTTCCCGCAGTGGCTTCTCAGCGGTGGGGCCTGCCAGGTCTTGCTCCCTTGTGTCTAGAAACTCAGCTGGGGAGACTAATTACAGGCAACGTCAAGGCCCCGCACTCCAGGGCCTTATTTTCAGCACCTCCCAGGAATCCCAGGCGGCTCTGGCTGTCTTGTGTGCCGTCTCCCACCCTCAGGGGCACTTCCTTCCCAGGGGCTTAAGGAAGCAGAGTGAATGCTTACTTGAGGTGGGAGTCCTCTGCCTTTGTCCCTCTTGTCTTCTGGTGAGCTTCTAAGTGAGGCATGAGCCGCCTTCACTGGGCAGATTTCATCTACTTCAGGCCTTAGCAGTGCTTACCTTGCTTTACCCCGAAGTGTCTCGGAGCTCAGGCCTTTTACCAGGGAGCAGTCTGCTGGCCTAAGTGGCCGGTGGGGGCCCAGCCACACCTTCAGGAGCACAGGAGAGGCCGGTGTCCCAAGGTAGCCCTAATTAGGGGGAGGGCACTTCTAGGAGCGGTGAGGCTGATGGGCCGGCTCAGCCCGTCGGCTCCACAGCCCCACACCCTGCTCTGCGTGCCGTGTCGCACTGGCAGTGAGGGGCCTGTCGGACTCGTCACCCGCTCGAAGCAGAGTGGGCAGGGTGGCGTGGTGTGGGGAGGCGGCAGCTAGTTCCGAACTGAAGCCCAGGGCTGTTCAAGAAGGGGCTTCCCTCATAAAGGAGTAAGGTGGCCCTGCTCAGCCTCAGCCCCGGGGTGGGGAGTTCAGGAGGCATGGAGAAGGCCGAGTGTAGTTGTGGGTAGAAAACCTTTCTTTCCCCACTGCACGGTTACGCACATGACATTGGACTCCTGGCTGTAGCTTACTCTCAACTCTGGTCTGGTGATGGCCCAGGTAGTTTTTAGATACCAATTTAAAATGCCTATCTACTGTTTTTTCTGAATACGCAAGTGTAAATAGTATAATTTGCAGTGCAAAGTCCTTGGCAATAACTTTATGTTGTGTATGATGTTGAAAAACATTGGCAAACTCGACCACCACGGACTGTCCTTCCCCTCTGGGGCAATGATGACACGTAGGACTCTGAACTTTAAACCTCCGGCGTGGTTGAAGCAGCAGCCTGCATGTGTGGACTGTCACCAGTGCCTCGCCCAGAGATGCCTGGCCTTCGTCCCAAGGGACTCTCTGCCACCCCAGCGCCCACACTGTGGCTCCTTCGCACCGACTGTCGGACTCTGCCGTAGACTCACCCTCTCGTCTGGCTGCTGCCGTTTGTCTGTAATGCCCTGACATGTTGCATTCTCCCCATTTGGATGAATACAAAATAAAGGCTTCTGTCTTAAAAGCAGTGGACCCACTCTGGTTAAACGAAGGCTGTCACTTGGATGAAATGGTCAAGTGCAGGACCATTTTCCTGGCCCTTACAACTCTCTGCTAACTCTTCTTTGCTAATGGTGCAAAGAGTTTACTGGACCTGAAACTTTAACCTGGCACCCTGACCTAGTGAGCTGGGGAGTTGTGGGTGCCGAGCGAGGGCCGAATTCTAAACTGTAGAACTCACTGGGTGCTTTGCACGCATCTCACTCTTCCTGCTCACACCTGTTCCCTAGGGCTGGCAGTACCCACACAGGACAGATCAGGACACTAAGGCTCACAGGTAAAAGTACAGAACTTCTAAATGGCAGCAACCATCTGTATCCAAAGCTGAAGCTCTTCCCCCTTGTGAGGGTCCTGCCGTGGAGCTGCCCCAGTAACGCGGAGCCGGGGGACAGAGAAGGCAAAGAGCCAGGCCAGGGCCTGCTGCTGCCCTCCAGGTAAGTGCAACCACTGGCTGGACAAGGCACCGGGCGTCCCTGCTTCCCTTTGGCACTCAGGGCCCACCTTCTCCCTGCCCGCCACTGAAGTGGGATTCACCAGCACGCTGCCGTTCCCCGTGCGATTCAGAGCAGACGGGGTGGCAGCTCTCCTGGGAGCCTGAGGAAGATGCCTCCTCCCTGCTGGGACTTATCAGCAAGGCTCTGGTGATCAGAGGCTCTTGGGTTCAATGGGGCCTGCTGGCCAGTCCGCCCAGCCCGTCGTGTGCTTCCACTGACCTTTCCAGCGGCCCCGACAGACCACAGCCTGGGAGGAAATGTGGAGGGGGTCAGAACCAGGATCGGAGTTTTCCAGCACAAAGCCTCATGCTCTTTGCTCTTTCCGCCGTGGTTCCTGCCAACTACCCACCTTTCCCTCCCTCCCTCCTCAGCCAGGCTTCCTAAACATCTACACTGGCCTGTCTCTGCTTCCTCCCCTCCCTCCCCTCAGCTGACCGCACCCCACCCACCTCGGAGTCTGCTCCTGCCCTGGGCACCAGCAACCTCCCCGTCACCGTCACCGAATCCAGTGAGCCTTCTCTCGTCCTGCCCTCACTGCTGACTGACGAGCTCCTTTTCCTCCCGGTGACCACAGCCTTACTCTGTGGCCGCCCTTTCTCCTCGAACAGCACTTCGCAGGCCTGCAGCCAGCCCTTGCTCACTCTGTACGCTCTCCTGGCTTCGCCTCCCCTGCCAGGGTAGGCCTTCACAACTAGTGCTGACCGCCCCACCCAGGGCTGGGAGACCTTTTTGGTCGTGACAACGGGTGGCGGGGGGGAGGAGTGCTGCCAACCAGCTGGAAGGGCAGGACAGCGCCCCACACCAGAGCACGAGCAGTACCGCTGAGGTTCCGAAACACTGTGGTAGCGCCGCCCGCGCAAGTCCCAAGCGTCTGTGGGCTCTGGCCGCCTTCCAGCGGTGTTTCCCGGGCTCTCCCTGGGTGTCTCCCCCCTTTCTGTGTCTCCCCCCTTTCTCTCACCAAGTTTCCGTGACTCTCCAGGAACTGTCTCCAATCTGGCCTATCTTACCACCTCTCTTTAGACTCTAAATCTCTCCTCCAACTTTTCTTTCTAAAGGACTGACTGGACACTTAAATTTTTTAAGCAAGTTGGCTTAAAACTCTCCAGTCAAGTTCCCTTGACCTTCAGACTGCTTGGCCTGGGTGGCCTCACCCTCATTATCCAGTCTCTTTCCCCCGGCCCCATCAGACCATGGTGCTAACTACCAACTGTTCGTTCCAGCTAAATGTTGCCTCTCTCTCCAGCAAACCCCCTAGTCAGCAGTGCAGAAAAACCGTCCCTGCTGCTTCATCTCTCTTGCCATTACACATCCCTCCCTGTCCCCACAGGGCGCCGTACACCTGTCCCAGCACTCAAGTGTTTTCAGTCTGGGTCTTAACACCACTAGGGGACCTCCCTGCAGCAGGGCCCATAGGAGTCCCCTGAGGCCTGCTGTGCCCAGGCTGACCAGCATATGGACTCCCTTCTCCTTTCCCAGCTGCGACATGAGGATTTCTGCGGCATCCCTGCACTCCCGAACACTAGGACCCTTGGGATTGGAAAACCTAGGGCAAGCTGGCCTTTCTGGATTCCCGCCCCAGCTGGCCAGGAACGTGGACCCCAGAAATCGGTTCTCCAGCTCGTGAATGGCAAAGGGATCCCAGATGCGCTCTGGAGCCGCTATCCTGGCTGCTGTCACGCACCTGCCATGGCCCAGGCCCCTCCGGGCACTCGCCTGGCTTCGGTGCAGTGGACAGCAGACCGGGCAGGGGCTTCACTCACCGCCTTCCCTCCTTTGCGGCCTGCATCTCAGCCCGTTTCCATCCGAGGCCGGGTGTAGAAGGGGTCCCGGAGGGCAGGTCACATGGGGAGAACCACAGGGTTGGGGAGACTGCTCTTCTTCCTGCTGCAGAGAAGGGGCGAGGTGGTAAAGAGGGCCCTACGGGGCAGGGCGCAGGAGGACCCCCCCCCGGGGAGTAGGAAGGAGCTTCTGCGAGAGGTCGTCCCTGCCGCCTCTCTCCCTGAAAGTTTCAGCAGAGCAGACCCGGATCCCAGCTGCTTCTCCCGCACTTTCACATTTTAGGCCTGGAATTCCACCTCCTGTCTCTGCCTGGTGAGGTGCTTTCATCTTGCAAGGTCCTACTACACCCCTACCTCCTGTAGGACTTCCCTAACACCCCACTTCACAAGCAGCGCCTCACCCCGTCGCTGCGGCCCTCCATCTCGCAGCAGGGGTTCCGTGCTGGCCATGGCGGCGCAGGGCGTCAGCCTCACGGAGGCGCAGCTGGTCCCGCCGCACCCCGCAGAGCCGGCAGCCCGGAGCCGCTGGGCGCAGGCGGGCGGGGGGTGCCCGGTGCCTGAGCGCATACGTGTCTGCCAGCACGCAGGCTGCCCTTCTCAGAGTGTGCATGCGAGCGGGGAGACGGGGCAGGAGCGCGTAATGATGAAACCGGTTTCTACAAAGTGATGCTCTTTGTACCAAAATATTTAATGAATATGCTGTTAAAATAAAACCAACCAAAGGAATAGTAATACAATTTTACTGGTTTATATTTCAATTCATAAAGTTGACACAATGGAACTACCCTAGCACAATGTCCACGCACCTAGTTTTAGATGGGCTTACAGCTGTTTCGGTAACTGAACAAGAAAGACACAAAGCGGTGGAGGGTGTGGTGGGGGGGGGGTTTGCCGCTTGTCACCTCCCTTATCACAGATGACCTCAGCAAGCGCTAGGCCAGCCACCGGGAAAAGAGATACAAAACAAGCCAAGTATCTTTATACGCAGACCAGTGCCTCTTAGAATAGCTCCTGCGCGCAGACACGAGACCCCCGGCGCCAGCCTGTCAGCATACCGCTATATAAATTAAAAGACTAGGTTATTTATTTTATTTTATTTTTTTAAAGGTGCTAAAACCTCCATTCCATAGTTTTGAAGTGAGAACCTGCAGTCCATCTGAACAGCGAGGTCTGCACCCAGCCACACTCTGGGGAGGGACACGGGCCGGCAGGACGGGGCCTCGGCACGCTCATCCCGCACATGCGTTTACACAAACACACACACACAGTGCAGTGTCTTTCTCGCTTGTATGACCTGTTGTGCAAAAACACTAGGAACCTTTTAGTGAGGGAACATTTCCCAGCTCTTGTGAGGGCAGGGAAGAAGGGGAACCCAACAAACCCGGAGTGAGATCAAGTGCCCAGATATCCACATAATTACCTTGTGCAGATGAGTCTTAGTCTGGGATTTAAACACTGTCAGTTGGGCGCACTGGGAAAAGATATTTATATATATATATATACACACACACACACGACACATGAAGCAAAATAAGATTTGTCCATGTTATGATTAATCCTGTCTCACGTCAGTCAAGTCACCCAGCCCAGCCCCGTGAAGTTTTGGCAGCTAACACTAAAGAACAACAGGAACTACGAGAGTTGCATAGAATTGATCAGAAACGTGAATAATGCCAAACCCAAAACCTGTGCATCGTGTAGTTTAACAAAACTAGGTGGCTGCGACTACAATCAGGAAACCCTCCTATTGAAAACGAAGTGCTTCTCCATGTCTACCTGGAGGACCCTATGCTGGCACTGAAGTAGAGAAGAACTGAGTTACTGATCCCCTGGCACCCCCCCGGCAATACATATAATATGTATATTAAAAAAAAAAAGATTAAAGGTTTAGAAAAAAACCAAAAGCCTGAAGGATCCCCAACTCTGACAATGTCAACTCAGTCCTTGGGCTGGGTGAGGTTGTGACCCCCACCAGGGAGAGAGGCCTGGCTGCTCACACCGAGGATGGTTTCCCAGAGCGCGTCCAGAGCGTCATACAGCCAGCAGGCCTGTTAGCATCAGTAGTTAGGGGAGCCTTACCCCAGAGGCTGCCTGCTTCACGAGCTCTGGTCCAATGACCTACCAACATGCTTCTACGGATCTGACTTAGATACATCCTGGTCCTGGGACACGTCACAGAATCACACATCTGGCCAAAGAAGGCAACAAAAGGTGTCGTGTTTTCTGAAGGTGTCTGGAGGCAGCCGCTTCACTCAGCAAGTCTCTTTCCCTTGAACCCCCGTTGCTGTCTTTATGGAGCTCAGTGTTCGGTTAAACCACGTCTTCTTGGCAGCCTGCACCTCATTTAGGGCAAGGCCTAAATGGTGCTCCAAGTCCTGCAAGAGGAACAATGTACATGAGCGTGCTGGGCTCCAGTGTGAATGGTGTTGCCTCCCCAGAGCTGAGTCAACACAAGACTTCAGCCTATTTACTCTTGAGAGGCCTCTGGAAACTCCCCAGTTTCCAACTGGCATAGAAGTATCTAGAATCCCTAGAGTTCTGGGATCTTTCCTAGTGAAGACCTCTTCATTTCTTGCCTAGTCTATTTATTAAAACAACCTCCTAACTGAGCACCTCCCTCTCCTGTCCACCTATTACACACCAGACAGACAGGACTAGCACTCCAGTTAAGACCATGTCATTAACTTCCAGCAAAGACCTTTAAAGTCTAGACTCCCAGGCAAGGCATTTGAGGGGTTTCATGATCTGGACCCAGAGACTGTCTGCCAGCTCAGTACCCACCTCCACCCCTAACTTCCTGACACTCCTTCTTGGGCAGGCCCACTCCTCCCTCTGCTGCTCAGCATGCCGCTCCCTCCACCAGGAATGCTCACTGTTCTTTCGCTTCTGCAGCTGCAACCCTTGTTCATTCTTTGACCACAGCTCACATACTGCTGCCTTGGTGGTGCTTTTCCTGATTGTCCTGGACAGTCACACAAGCCAAGTCTTAGCTTTGCAACCCCAGCACCTAGAACAGGGCCTGGCAAAGAGCAGATGCCCAGTGAATGTGTGTGATGTGGGAGACCAGGCCCTAAACTTCAGTCCTTAACTCGGTCCCTTCCACAAACGGGCCCACTTGCGCTTCGTAAGGGTGCTTGTGGAACTGGCCACGCAGGATAAAGATGACCAAAGGAAGCCCCGATTTCTTCATCAGGAATGGAGGCTCAGATCAATCAGGTAACACGTCCAAAGTCACAAAGCTAGTTAAGTGATAGGAGCTGGGACTACGAGGTGGCATTTAGGAAGTCCTCAGACACTGTGCTGCGAGCCCTTTCTGTGCTTTTATCTTATTTAGTCTTCAAAGCGAACTATCAGATAGGGGCCCTTATCACCTCCATTTGCAGATGGGGAACCTGAAGTGTAAGGAGGTCATGCACAGACCCAAGGTCACAGGTTTTGGTGGTGCAGCAGTGATTTCCAAGCATGTCTCCGCTCCACCAAAAAGATTCCAAGCTTGATGGATAATTCTCATTATGAGAAAGTCCAATTCATGACAGGCCAAATACTAATTAAACATCCACTGGTAAATAACAAGCAATGGGCTTCTTCATATAAGGATTATGGTCAAAGTTTAAAAGGGAAAAAACCCCAACCACAGAGACCATTTCTGGGGTCTGCAGCCCACACGGGGCCGGGCGCGGGGCCGGGCAGTTACCTGGATCTTACACTCGGCCTCCACCAACTGCAGCTTGGTCTGCGCCAGCTCCAGTTCCATCTCTCTCAGCTGGTTCTTGAGTGTCTCCTTCTCTTCATCAGTGTCCTCATCTAAAACTTCCTTAGCTGAGCTCATGCCCTTTATGCGACCTTCTTTGTTGAAAAATCCCCGGCAGCGCTCACAGTCATCCACTTTTTGCTGAAAGTGAATGTCAGATGTGAACACGCAAAGAAGAGAAGTGGCCCCGTAGGAAGGTGTGGGCACCTCCTTTTTGGGGAGCCAAGAGGTGGCTTCTGGGTCAAGCACTACAGCTCCCAAAAAACTCTGTTCTCTTTGCAAACTGGCAGATACCCTAGTGGAAAAGCCATGTAGTATCCTACGCTAAAATCAGTAAGAACATTCTTATATCTTTGGTCATCTCACTCCCAAGGAACCTTGGTTAAAAAAATGAAGATGCAGCGACTAAAGATTTATATACAAAGATTTTCACTGCAGAATCAGAGACAGAAAAATAACGAGGGGATAACCTATCCAACCACTGTGAGAAGTTAAATAGATACTGGGCTGTACCTATACAAGGAAGTATGTAGGCAGCCTCTACAAAGTGTTTGAGGAATTTTTCATAACATGGTAAAATGGTTAAATGCTGCGTGAACAAGGACACAAAAATGTCTGTAAAGCATGGTTACAAATATATACCATGTTTCATTAAAATAAGATGTCCCTGACTGGGAGAAACCTCATTTCACATTCCTCTAAGAGAATATTCTGCCAATTAAACCACTTTATTTTAATTTTGAGAGAGAGAGAGGGAGAGACAGAATCCCAAGCAGGCTTCACCCCCAGCATGGAACCCGACATGTGGCTCACCACGGGGCTCGATCTCACGACCGTGAGATCAAGACCTGAGCCAAAATCAGGAGTTGCATGCCTGGACTGAGCCACCCAGGTGCCCCCAGTTAAACCACTTTAAAAGGCCATCAGTTATAAAACTTGTCCCAATTTCAGAGAGGTAAGTGTGGAAAAAAACGCCTATCTTAGAATGAATAGCATTTTATATGTTGAAATAAACACAGAATGAGCACTGAAAGCACACACACCAACGTGTTAATGATGGTGATATTATCTACGGGTAATATAAGGGTTTGTTTTCTTACTCTTATTTTCCAAATTTTCTGCAATAAGCATTGCTAGTTTTATAATCAGATAATAAACTACATTTAAAAAATCGACACTGCTAGTTAAACACTACTTACAATGGAGGCCAGGTGCCATCTTCCTCCAGGTAAAACGGTGATGTGTGTGATTAGGGCCATGAGCACAGAACTTGCTCACCTTCCTGTCCATTGAGCTATTAAATATGTTAGCAAAGTATCTTTCAGTAAGTTACTCATCTTGGAAAAATGTGATGAGTGCTCTAATACAGGTACAGCTTAAAGCAAGCAAGCACTGGGCACCTGGGTGGCTCAGTCGTTGAAGCGTCTGCCTTGGGCTCAGGACGTGACCTCAGGGTGCTGGGATTCAGCCCCACATTGAGGAGCCTGCTTCTCCCTCTGCCCCTCCCCCACTGCTCATGTGCACTCTCTCTCGCTCTCTCAAATAAAATCTTTAAAAAAAATTAAAAAAAAAAAAAGAAAGCACCAAGTTACAAAAGTCCCTGAATTGGCAACAAAAACATTAAAAAATTAAAGCCTTCATTGGATTTGGATCCATTATAGCAGAAGGAATTGAGCTCAGAGGGGGAGCTGAGTGTCCTCATTTTACAGAACGTGCAGAGTGACAAATGACACCACAGGGTCCTGACCTCTGCACCCGATCCGGAGCTAAACTCCGGCTGGCAGGCCTCCTTCACCTGTGGCACTGCAGTGACCACCTGCTCCACTGACATCTGCAAATCCCAGGTCACTTCTTGTTACAGTCACGTCATTCAGAGGATGTTATGTGAGGAAAAGGGCATTTGTATTTTGAGATCTAAAACCAGAGTTCTCGGGTTGCGTCTGCCCTCCCGTCCGGAGGAAACCGGCACGGAGCCAGGCCACGATGGGCCCCTCATCAGGTACTCACAAGCTTCTCTCACTTTTGAAATCGAAGTAAACCACCCCCTCCTGAAATCTGTGGTGCCGAGCAAAGCACAGCGAACTAGGTGGTACAGAATAGAATCTCTTTGGTAAAGGAAAACTTACCCGGATTTTCTCAATTTCCACTTTATTAGCTGTCTGCTGCTTTTCCAATCTTTCACTCAACTGAGAACAAATCTAAAGAAACAAAGTGACAATCTCTTGAGCAATGTCATCACGTGCAGAACCTGGGCTTGGGAGGAATTCTACAGCAGAAGGCAGAGAGGCCGAGGGGAAGGAAGAGTGGGGGCCGTAGGGGCTGCGGGCGCGCGGGGCAGGAGGTCGGGCAGGAGGACGGGGCAGGAGGACGGGCAGGGGGACAGGCAGGAGGTTGGGCAGGGAGACGGGGCAGGAGGTCGGGCAGGAGGACGGGGCAGGAGGACGAGCAGGACGGGGCAGGAGGATGGGCAGGAGG